AGTCCCAGGCAGGGAGCCTCCAAGTGGCTCTTGGGCCATGAGGGCCAGTGGGTCCTAGGCATAGAGCCTAGGCAGGGAGCCACATGGTGGGTGAGAGACCAATATGGATAGGAACGCCATGAGACTATGCTGCTGGTCCTGGGCAGGGAGCCACATGGTGGGTTAGAGACAGAGACATGGATAGGCATGCCATGCAGAGTGAGGTTAGATATTTATTTAGTATGTTATGAAAGGGAAGGGGAAAGAGGAGAAGGGGGAAGAGCAGAGAGAGAGAGGGAGAGAGAGAGAAACAGAGAGGGGGAAGGGAATAAGTGGGGAGAAGGGAAAGAGGCAAAAGCTGCCTCTTTGGGAGAGAGATGGAAAGGAAGGGGCTCAGACTGGAAGCAGAAGGAAGATCTGTCTGTCCCAGCAGTGCAGGGGAGGAGTTGGCAGGGCTTGTCTCTTAAGGGGACAGGACAGACCATTACACTGGGGTTGGTAATATGAAGAGGTGCGATGTCTGTCCTCTGAAAAATCACAGCCTAGTTAGTGCACCAACATATGTGTCTGAGTTAGGGTTTTATTTCTGTTAAGAGACACCATATCCATTGCAACTCTATAAAGGAAAACATTTAATTGGAGCTGGCTTACATTTCAGTGGTTTAGTCCCTTATTATCATGGTGGGAAACATGGTGGCATGCAGTCAGGCATGGTTCTGGAGAAGGAGCTGAGGGTTCTATACCTTGATCCACAGGCAGTAGGGAGTGAGCTGACTTGAGCTTCTGAGACCTCAAAGCCTTCCCCTACAGTGACACACTTCCTCCAGCAAGGCCACCCCTACTCCAACAAGGCCACACCTCCTAATAGTGAATAGTGTCACTCCCTATGTTCCAAGCATTGAAATATATGAGTCTATGGAGGCCAAGCTGTGGAAGAGAACCCCACTGTGAACTGTTGCCTTGGCTGAGGTACCAACTGTCTTGGGAACCCCAGAGAGAAGAGCTATCTCTATCACTGTCAGGAAGACAGGACATCTGGGAGAGCTTCTCTGAGGCTTGACCAATGGGTTGCTGCTAGCGAGTTTATAGACTTGGAGAGGTGCATCAGAGTAGTTACAGAAGGGAGGGAGGACGGGGAAGGCAAATGTGATTTTGATGAGCCAAGGGCAGTTGGGTACCTCATACATGCTATCTGACTTAATTTTTGTAGAGTTATCACCATGATCTTACAAATGAGCAAAGAGAGGCTGGAACCTTAATGAATTTCCCAAGATTCTTGGCGTCAATTGACAAGGTCAAAACAATATCTGCAGTAACATTAAACAGTTTATCTTTTCACCACATTAACATTGTCCTTGCTAACTTCATGTCAGGGGAAGCTAAAGCTGCAGGCTCTTTGACATCACTCAAGGCTTTGATGCCCATATACGTGTGTGTGTGTGTGTGTGTGTGTGTGTGTGTGTGTGTGTGTGTGTGTATGTATGTATATGTGTATATATATATTGCATCCTTTAGGTTTTTTTTTTTTTAGTATTTGTTGTTTTTATTTTATGTGAGTGACTCTTTGCCTGCATTTTTGTAAGTTTACCACACATGTATGTGCCTGATGCCTGCAGAGGTCAGATGAGGGTGTTGGATCCCATGGAACTGGAGTTAAAAATGCTTATGAGCTGCCATGTGGGTATTGGGAATCGAATTCAGATCTTCTGTAAGAGTAGCGAGTGCTCTTTATTACTGAGCCATCCTTCCTACTGTATACTTTATGTCCATGTATTCAGAGTGTCATGTAAGGAGGCCCTTAAATAAATACATAAACAATAAAGCAGAAAAATGTTTGACTTTAATCCTTGAGTACACATAATGCACAATATCACACATCATATTTCAATAATTATTTTATACAATATTGTGTCTTGTGTCATGAAGTAGGAGATACATTTTTCATATGTAACAAATGGTGACTATGGAAATGCCAAGCACAGCCTGACCACTGTCATTATAAACTGCTCTGGTTGTTTTTTGTCAACTTGATACAAACCTAAACTTATCTGGGAATAGGTAATAATAATTAAGAAACCACATGTATCAAGTGACATGTAGGCAAGTCTAAGGGAGCAATTTCTTGATTGATATGGGAGGGCCCAGCCCACTGAGGGTGGTGCTATCACTGGGCAGATGGCCCTGGTTGAATAAGAAAGTAGAATGAGCAAGCCATGGGGAGCAAGCCAGTGAGCAGCACCCTCCATGGTCTCTGTTTCAATTCCTGCCTTGAGATCCTGCCCTGACTTCCCTCACTGACAGACTGTGACCTGAGAGAGATAAACTGAAATAAAATCTGTCTCCCCAGTTGCTTTTGGTCATGGTATTTTGTTAGAGGAATAGAAGCTAACTAAGACACAAGCTATGCCAGACATTGGTTAGTTTATGTTCATGGGATGCTATGTTTCTGGAGGAAAAGACTGGCAAGTTGATTGCTTATACTCAGGATTATGCAGTCTTTTAAAAATATGAATAGGGTACCCTTCCCCATTCATGGACAATGCCTAACATTTATCATTTGCTCCTAATTGTGAAGTTTGATCTTCTAGTGAAAAAATGGAATTATAGACAACCTATTTCTCTCGATTTCCCACTTTATAGGTTTCTCTGATGATATTGATGGTGATATTAATAAATTGGAGGTTATTGTGTAAGAAATCTGTTGCTGGACAGTGGTGGTGCACACCTTTAATCCCATCTCTCGGGAGGCAGAGGCGGGTGGATCTCTGTGAGTCCAGCCTGGCCTACAGAGTGAGTTCCAGGACAGGCTCCAAAGCTACAGAGAAACCCTGTCTTGAAAAAAAAAAAAGAAAGAAATATGTAAACATTTGGAAGATCTGTTTAACTCATTGTACCAATATACCAAATGTAAATGTTACAGAATCATGAGCCAGTAAGAGATTCATTTCAAAGAGAAAGTTAGAATAACTAATTTTAATGTAACAAAATAAAAATCTTTACTGACCTCATTTTAGAATATACATCATAGCTTTTAAGAGTTAAAACCTGTTGAGTAATTTCAAAAAGACTGTTCACAGTTACCTGCAAGTTCACTAAAACACATACCTCCTTTACTTCCAGTTACATATCTGGTTGAATTTTCTTCATAGATATTAATCAAAACAAATCATCAATAGATGTATAAAACCAAGAGTAAATATAGCCACCCAGCTGAGCATTCTAGAGATTTGCAAAAATGTAAAAGTAACACTTTTAGTTTTCCCTTGTTTTAGAAGTTATTTTCCACATAAATATACCACTGGTGCTAGCATGTATTGGGCTTCTTATCATTATTTTAAATATTTACTTTTAAATTTTTTTCAAGACAGGATTTCTCTGCATAGCCCAAACTGATCTAGAACTCTCTCTGTAGACAAGACTGGCCCCATTTTCCTCTGCCTTCCCAGTGCTAAGATTAAAGAAAAGCATGTACCGCCACCGGCTTAAATATTTTTTCTAGTTGTTTTTATTTATTTTGATGATGTGTTTCTCTGGTGTGTGCCTGTATCGGAGTACACACATGTCCATACAGTTGGACTTACTGGCCAGAAGCAGACATCATGTCCTCTGGAGCTGGAGTTACAGCTGGTTGTGAGCGGCCTGATGTGGCTGCTGGCAACAGAACTCGGGTCCTCTGGAACAGCAGTACCTGATTCTAACTGCTGAGCAATCTCCTCAGCCCCTTACCATTATTTTAAATTGATTACTAGTTTTGTGTCGAAACAGGTCCAGGCTGTCCTGAACTCAGTCTCAGCCTCATGCTCCGCTGAATGGATTACTAAATAATATTTTCACTACTTCAGTTTTAGTTTTTAAATTAAAGCTCTTTAGGAGTTTCAGTAACTGAGAAGAATGACATTCTGGGACCCAGAAGCTTAAGATGGAACAGGATGGGCCTGGTGGTGCTTTGTGCTTCCGCAGAGCCCACCAACCCCCCAACCACAGTCACTTAGAACCAAGAGGGTGGGAGTTGGTAGTCACCCTCATCCACAGTCTCTATGGAAACGAGCAGGCTGAGCAACTCTAGGAGACTGGCTAAGCCCAGACGCAGCTCATCTCTGGAGGACTCAGGCTCCAGCTCAGGAACATGTTTCTAGATGGTTGGGGAGATTGCATGTTCCTTGCAGTCCAGTGGAGACCATAGCTTTCTCAACAGAGAATCTTGTGGGCTGTACAGAGAGGGTTGAAGGCCTGAGTAAGCCGAGGGTTCTTTGGCTAGTTCCTTGCACTGCTGTGTCGTCAGACACTGTGTTCTGGATGCTGCCCAGAAAAACGAGACAGGTGTAGTTGTCCTTGCCCCTGTCTGAACAGAGTGACCGTGCCAACTTCATCAACTCCTCTGGTCCATTCCACCATAGCCACTCTTCTCTGTAGTCCCTTATGTCTCTGTGGGAGAGAGGTCTGTATCTTAGTGCACTTGATGGGACTCTCCTCACTCTGATATTGTCAACCCACTCTGGCCTCTTTCTGGGGATCACCCTGAGAGGAGCAGATCTGCCTGCCCCAGCAGAGACTGGGGATGGAAGCCAGGTCCAGCTTCCTGAGCACTGAGACACTACCATGCCTGCTACTGAACATTTCCTTTCAAAAATGTCCTTCTGGAAGCTGGGCGGTGGTGGCACACGCCTTTAATCCCAGTGTTTGGGAGGCAGAGGAGGCAGGCAGATCTCTGTGAGTTTGATCTCTCTAGCCTGGTCTACAAGAGTTCCAGGACAAGCTCCAAAGCCACAGAGAAACCCTCTCTCGAAGAAACAAAAAAAAAAATGTTCTCTGGTCACACTGTTGTTTAGTGGTTCCCAAAACTGATAGAGAAATATGACAGCCATTGGACATTCCTAGGAGGTGTTCAGAGACCATGCTGATTTCATGAACTTTTCTTTGGAGATGAGTCCAAAGTGGGGGGAGGTCCTGCAGCTGAACCCAGAAGGGTGGATGGGTTCCAGTGGGATGTGTCTCCACTCTCTCTTCTTTGTCTCCCACAGGGGTGAAGAAGAGAACCAAAGTCATCAAGAACAGCGTGAACCCCGTGTGGAATGAGGTACACCAGTTTCTTCCCCACTCTCCCACCCTTCTCTGCCTCTGCTACCTCTGCAGGGGGCTGACCTGACTCAACAGGTAGCTATCTCAGAAGGATAGGAATCCAGCTTTATCCTGAGATGCTGCCCAGAGAATATCCTGATAGAAAGGGCAGATGCTTGTTTTTCTTTCATTTTCTTTTGTTTTTCTCTGCTTCCCAGCTTGGGCCAGCCAGGTCTCCCTTATCTGTCTCTCTCCCTCTCACAGGCCAAAGATACCTCCTTGCCATAGCACTTCCCTGATTAATCAAGTCCCCCAGATGTTCCCATTGGTTTTGTCCCCTCATGCAGCTTTCATAGAGATGACTTCTATGTGGTCCTCTGAAGCACAGGTGAGGACAGAGTGTAGATGGATTTTCTGTCCCACCAAGTCCTGCAGCCGTTCAGTCCCAAAGAAAGACTCAGAGACTTATATTAGTTATAAATGGTTTGGCCTATTAGCTCAGGCTTATTATTAACCATGTGCCTTGGTACTTTTTCTCAGTAAGGCATTCTCATCTTGCTTCCTCTGTTTCTGGATGATGACTGCATCTCTGCCTTTTCTCTTCCCAGAATCCTCCTAGTCTGGTTGCCCCTCCTATACTTCCTTCTTGACTACTGGCTAATCAGTGTTTTATTAAACTAATACAAGTGACCAATCTTTACAGTGTACAAGAGCCGGGTGGTGGTGGCACACGCCTTTAATCCCAGCACTTGGGAGGCAGAGACAGGTGGATCTCTGTGAGTTCGAGGCCAGCCTGGTCTACAAGAGCTAGTTCCAGGTCAGGAACCAAAAGCTACAGAGAAACCCTGTCTCGAAAAATCAAAAAAAAAAAAATACAGTGTACAAGAGTATTATTCCACAGCAGCAGAGTCAGGTACAGACTGTATGTTCCCTTTGAGGAGGGTTGAGGGGCCTCTGATTGGCCTTCCTTAACTCATCACTTACTCATCCCACCCACCAGGGGTCTGGCTGTTGGATGGCCATATGTTCTTGGTGTGTGAAGATCCTGAAGGATCACCTGGAATTTTTACTGTTGTGTTTTTGTTCTGGTGTCCTGCAATGCATTGGGAGAGGAGGCTAGTGCAATATGGCTTCCTTTTCCTTTTTGTTACCTCTAGTTCTTACTATTACCTCTGAAGCTCTGGAATTCTGATATCCATCCATCTATCCACCCATCCATATGTATCCACTTATCCATCAACCCATCTATTTATCTAGCTACCTTTCCACCCATCCATCCACCCACTCATGCATCCACCCACGCATGCATCCACCCACCCACAAACCCATCAAACCATCAATCTATCCACTACCCACTCACCTATCCACCTATCATCCATCCCACTTAGCTACCTACCCTTTGCCCAAGTAGTCACCCATCCATGCATCCAATCACTCACCCACTCATGCAAGTATCCAGTCATCCATACATCCACCCTCCCTTTCCACCCATCTACTCATTCACCCAGTCTTACATCCACTCACCTGTTACTTCACTCACCTACCCACCCATTCATCTGTGCGTCTGTCCTAGTCAGGGTTACTATCGCTGTGATGAAACATCATGACCTAAAGCAACTTGAGGAAGAAATGGTTTATTTGGCTTATACTTTCCACATCACTATTCATCACTGAAGGAAGTCAGGAGAACTCAAACAAGTTAGGAACCTGGAGGCAGGAACTGATGCAGAGGTTAAGAAGGGGTGCTGTTTACTGGCTTGCTCCTCATGGTTTACTCAGCCTGCTTTCTTAAGGAACCCAGGGCCACCTGCCTAGGAGTAGCATCATCCACAATGGACTGGGACTTCCCACATCAATCACTAATTAAGAAAATGCCCTACAGGCTTGCCTATGGATTTTGTGAAGGCATTTTCTCAATTGATGTTCCTTTCTCTCCAATGACTAGCTTGTGTCACATTGACATAAAACTAGCCAGCATCTATCATCCACTCCCCCATCTACCCACTCACTCATTCATCCATCTATCCACCCATCCACCCATCCATCCATCCACCCACCCATCCATCCACCCACCCGTCCGTCCATCTATCTATCTATCTATCTATCTATCTATCTATCTATCTATCCACCCATCCATCCACCCACCCACTCATCCACCCATCCATCCACCCACCCACTCATCCACCCATCCATCCACTCATCCATTCATTCATCCACCAACCCACCCACCTTTCTGTATGCTCATCCCCTAGCACCATTCTGAATGTCTGTTCAGTACCCTGGGCCACAGGTTAAGTTATCTTTTCTTCTTTTCTTCCAGGGCTTTGAGTGGGACCTCAAAGGTATCCCTCTAGACCAGGGCTCAGAACTTCATGTGGTGGTCAAGGACCATGAGACGATGGGGAGAAACAGGTGAGTGGGCCCAAGAGTGATCTGGGACTTGAAGGTACAGGTGGGTTTTGATGAATATGCATATAATATTTGATGAATGCCCTGGAATCAGAGCTCCCAAGGGTGAGTGCTTCCTGTCAGCATTGACTTCCTGAAGACTGCCTTTCATGGGCTTAATCCAGTGGTGGATGCTGGGGCAAAGCCTTGCTGAAGCCTCAGGAACTTGGCTGACATGTTGCTGAGAGCTGCACGGGCTGCCAGGGAGGGAGGGTGAGCTAGGATCAAGTGTCCAGGAGCTTTTCGTACAAGAGTACAGTGCAGGCTGTGGGGAGCAGGTAGGAGCAGGTTCCCTGCCTCTCCCTGTAGCCTGTCGCTGGGAGGGGGTACTCCTTGCCTCTTCCTGGCTGGTGAAGACAGCTACACACACTCCAGGAGGTGGTAGACAAAGAGAAGTTACAACTAAGAGGGAGCAGAGGAGGAGGGCTGCCTGGAAGAAGCAGAACCTGAGGTAGGAACTGATGCTGAAGTCAGCAATAACAGGCAGCAGACTGCTCTCTCTCTCTCTCTCTCTCTCTCTCTCTCTCTCTCTCTCTCGTGTGCGTGTGTGTGTGTGTGTATGTGTGTGTTTTGGTTGGGATGACAAGTAGGAAACTCTCTGAAGCAAAATCTTACTGGCAAAATCAGGCTCTGCCTAGGCAGGCGGCAAGTGGCTTCCTTGTCAGGGGAATCCTGAGCCTTGTCAACAGAGTGGTGGGCAAGGCCTTCAGAGCTTGATGGGCCAGTTGGCTGTGGGTGTATGCGGCCAGGAGACACAGTTTGGGAGGATCTATGGTGGCAGGGCTTAAGTAAGGAGAGTGGCCAGTGGTCTCTGGTGGGTACTGGGTTCAGTTGTATCGGGTGGACTCCAGTGCCTGGTGCTGCTGACTGATACCTGGCCGTGAGGAGCATGGGCCTGCCACGCACCGGCCTGCCCACAGGGGAGTCTTTGTTTGGGAACTGGGTCAGCCTATCTGAGGCTGGGAATCTTGGTTAAGTGAACCTGGAATGGGGAAAGTGGGGAAGGAGGAGGGATCAGGAACCCAGGGAGGGCCTCAGGCTGTGGGATGCCTGCAGAGTTGGAAATCTTCAAATCTAAACCATTACTGTTTCTTTGTGGTTCAAGCTGGTGCTGGGTACATGGTCTGGCATCCCTGAGGAAGGAGAAGGCACTTTCCCTCCTGTGCCTCCGGAGTGGTGCTGCAGCAGGGAGCCCAGACTGCTGCCGAGGGCTCTCAGTGCATCTCATGTCTTTTCTAGTCATGACCTCTTTGCCTGAGAAATTTATATATGACTTTGTGCCTATATGTATATAGAGTGGGTATTTACTGATAATAGCTCATAAATAAATTTACTTTATCTGGACATGGTAGCACACACCTTTAATCCTGAACTTGGGAGGCAGAGGCAGGCAGATCTTAGGGAATTGGAAGCCAGCCTGGTCTACATAGCAAGTTCCAGGCTAGTCACAGCTACACATAGTGAGATCAAAAAAGTTGGTTTTTTTTTTTTTTACATTTTAAAGTATTTTACATTTAATTTTTACCATTTATTGAAGATGAAACCAAATTTGCATCCCAATGGGAATATGCTTTAGTTTTACCTAAATAATTAGCTCTTGGCTGAGTATTTGATACTACAAGACAGAGAATAACATCTTGTCGAATGGTTTGGCATTTTGATTTTAGAACCATCATTGAGAATGCCATGTCACTTAAGAATACAGTGCTAAATGGCAGAAGGATGTCTAGGGCCATTTTGGAAAGTGTTGGAGATTCATTCCTATCCTAAATCAAAACTAATTTATTTTTAAGATGAAATTCAAGACAGCAATCCAAATAGCAGTTATTATAATAAAACATGTGAACACAATATAATCTACAGATATACTAATCTAGTACTTGCTGTAACAGGGCCTCAGACTTTAGCACAAGTGACTCCATGGTGGAAGTGCCATTCAGGCTAAATAAAACTCCGCACCACCTGCCAAAATGAAAACAGATACCTAATCCATCAAAGCCCAAAGTTCTGGGAAAGTCTCTACACGTATTAACTTTGCCTTTTGGCTTCTGTAGTTCTGCTTCTGGTTAACTGTTCTTGTTAACCAAAGTATGCAACCCAGAGCTTAAAAGTTCCTCTCGAGAAAGGCTTGGAACTACACTGGGATCCCTGAACACCCAGTGTAGCTGCCAGTCAGCTGATGACTTTCTATGTCATTACCATGTCTGAGCAGTCCTCTCCGGTGCACCCCACCACACCTCCATGCTGAAGAGTGCTAGTAAGACAGCAGTAGGAAATGCTACTGTTTTCTAAGGGAGCAGGAAACTCTGCATCTACCCTTAAAAACCCTGGGGCCTCCAGCCTGCAGCCTTGAACCTAAGCCCAGACGTCTGAGGCCGGGCCTGTGGGTCTTACTTCGCATGATGGCATGCCCAGTGCAAGGTGCGCGTGCTGTGTGCTCAGAACCAAGGCTGCAGTGAAGCCAGGCTCCTGAAGGGACATGGTGAGCACTGCTGTTATGCTTCACTCCAAAATTTTTGGATGGGTTTGGAAACTTTTCCGTTCTCCCTCTTTCTTTCCCTTCCTTTTTTCCTCCTTCCCTCCCCTCCTCTTTTTTTTTAACCTATTTATTTATTTATTGAGACAGGATCTCGCTACATAGCTGGGCCTGTCCTGGAACTCACTATGCACACCAGGCCAGCGTTGAACTCACACAAGATCTCCTGCCTCTGCCTCCAGAGTGCAGAATTAAAAGTATGCCCCACCACGCCTGGCTGGGTTTAGAAAATTTTACCATTGCCAAGTATTTTGCTCATATAAGGTTATAAGATGCTACCTAACGCAAGAGTTAAGAAGCTGTGGTTCACAGCTCTTGAGATGGCTCTCACTAGGTAAGGGCCCTGACACTCAAGCCTGATGATCTGGAGCCCACACAGCTGGAAAAAAGACTTCACAACATTGTGCTTTGACCATGGCACACATGACGTCTTACCTTCATACACCCATAGTAATTAATAATAGTAATAAATTGATCAATAAATTCAAGCTGTGGCCTTTGCTACCTTCTTACCTAGATGCTTTGTGAAAGGCAGGCAGCTCCAAGAGCCTCATGAGGCACCAATGAGCTCGAAGGTGACCCAGCAGTCCAGGCAGGGAGCAATTCTGGACATTGGGAAGTGGGGAAAGGCTTTCTGGAGAAGAGCCCACGGTCACCCAGGGCCGGGGTTTGGACGGGTATATGGTTCCAGTGTGTGGGAGCCAAGACAGTGAGTTCATGCGGGAATTCAGGGTTGTGTAGCCTTGTTGGGAAGGGAGCAACTGGACCAGCTCAGGTTGATGGTAGCAATGGAGAAAACTCCCAACTGGCCCTGGACAGAACTTAGCTAGGTTCCTGGCCCTGTGTAAGCCTGAGATATGAGGTGAGCGCTTTCTCTACCAGATGCTGCTGTCGTCATCCTCACAGGCCGGAAACAGAGACTCTTAAGATTAGATTGATGACATTCCCAAAAGGCTGTGCTGGAGCTGTGTGTGGCTGGAGGGCAGGTGTTTGTGTTCATTCTCATAGCTCTGGAATCTCTGCATTTCAGAGGCTCCCAAGGCCTCTGGCAGCTGGCCTCTGGGTACTCCGCAGAATTTAGTTCCTCTGATGACACAGGAGTTGAGAATTTAGTGAGGCAAAGGTGAACACCCTGGGTACTGCAGGCCATGAGGAAATGCAAGTTTCATTTTCATTCTTGTATTGGGAACTTTCCTGGGAGCCATGGGAGGAGTCGAGACCCAGAGGCAGCAGGAGAGCAGAGATTGTGGCCAAACTTTCGGTCAATTCATGGGCCGGGCTGGATGTCCAGGGGATGGCTCAGGGCTACGCAGAGGCTGTCTGACTCTGTGGGTCATATGTTCTTCTGAGGGAGGATGAGTGCACCCTCCCCTTGGTCCCTGTTGGTGTCCTCTGGCTCACCAGTTTCCACGTGAGCAGGTTACTGCAGGGCAGCATGCTGGGAAGCAGTTCCTCAAACCTCCATGTCTGGAATAGCCAGTTCACCAGGCATCATCACTTACCAGAACTTAGCCTTACAAACACTTGGGTGTGATTTTTTTCTTTTATTTTCCTAAGCATTTATCTTAATTTGGCTGTCCTAGCAATTAAAAATTAAATTGTAATTGACTAAGTTTAAATTTAAACCCACATTTGTAACAATCTACAGAAGCACAGAGCTCCCTATTCTGTGAGGGAATGATCAGGGCAAAGGGGTCTGTGGTCTCCATACCAGCTAGCTTTAATGTCTGTGCTTGAGGTAAGCCTGTCCAAAGCAGCAGGAGGGGACATGGCCCATCCACTGTAACTCTGTGATGCTCTCATGATCAGACTGGAAACTACACTCAAAAGCTTGTACAAGAAGGAAAAGAGGCTATGGAGCTGGTCACGTGCTCGCTGTGCAAGCATGAGGACCTGAGTTCAGCTCCCCAGCACCCACATAAATCTGGCTATGACGGCACACAATTGTAAAGTCAGTGCTGGAGCCCATGAACAAGCGGCTGACTCTCACTGGCCAGCCAGTCTAACTCAAGCAGGGGCTCCAGTTTCAGTGAGAGCCCCTGTCTCAAAAAAAATAAGGTGGAGAGTGAGCGAAGAAATGACCCCAAATCAACTAACCTCTACACACACAACCCAGTGTCTCTCACACATGTGAACACACATGCATACCACACACACACACACACACACACACACACATCCCAATGCCCCCCTCACATGCATAACATATACATACATACATCCCAGCCAGTGGACCCTCACACATGTGCACACACATGCATACCACACACACATATACACATATATTCCAGCCAGTGGACCCACACACATGTGCACACACATGCATACCACACACACACATCCCAATGCCCCCCTCACATGCATAACATACATACATACATCCCAGCCAGTGGACCCTCACACATGTGCACACATGCATACCACACAC